TCATTTCAGTATGTACAACGGTTGCAAAGAAAATGAATGGAAACTGCAAATAATTAGAATTTTTTCTAAGTCCAAGGGACATAACTCTGTCAAAAATGGTGTGATCGTACCCAAAACAGATTTTGATTAAGATACTCAAGTAATACATCTGTATACCAAATTTCATATCAGTATGTACAACGGTTGCAAAGAAAATGAACGGAAACAGCAAATTATTAAAATTTTTCTAAGTCCAAGGGGCATAACTCTGTCAAATATTATGCGATTGTACCCAAAACAAAACTCGACTTAGATATTCATATGATATATCTGTATACCAAATTTCATTTCAGTATGTACAACGGTTGCAAAGAAAATGAACGGAAACAGCAAATAATTGAATTTTTTCTAAGTCCAAGGGGCATAAGTCTGTCAAAAATAGTGCGATCATACCCAAAACAGAACTCGGCCTAGATACTTATTTGATATATCTGTATACCATATTTCATTTCAGTATGTACTACGGTTGCAAAGAAAATGAACTGAAACGGCAAATAATTGAATTTTTTCTAAGTCCAAGGGGCATAACTCTGTCAAAAATGGTGTGATCGTACCCAAAACAGAACTCGACCTAGATATTCATATGATATATCTGTATACCAAATTTCATTTCAGTATGTACTACGGTTGCAAAAAAAATGAACGGAAACAGCAAATAATTGAATTTTTTCTAAGTCCAAGGGGCATAACTCTGTCAAAAATGGTGCGATTGTACCCAAAACAGAACTTGACCTAGATATTTATGTGATATATCTGTATACCAAATTTCATTTCAGTATGTGCAATGGTTGCGAAGAAAATGAACGGAAACTAAGTGGACCGACAGACCGACGGACCGACAGACGGACCGACAGACAGCAGCAAAGCAATATGCCCTCCCTTCTTCGAAGGGGGGCATAAAAAAGAAAATAATTAAAGCATAGCTTAATTGTCTAAAAATATTTCATGAAACATGTGAAACAGTGAAAGTATTAGATCTATAATCACTCACAAAAGTAAATTCATTTATATTATCCAGGAAACGGCAAGATGCCATTATTATTATTATTATTTTTTACTAATTCCTTATCATATACATGTATCTTTCCTTCATAGAAGACCTTTCATTTGACTAATTCAAACTGAAATCCCTTCACCAAGGATACTTTGTGGCTAAAGCTTAATGGTTAAAATCAATCTAAGTGATTCTTGAAAAGAAGTCAATTATAAAAAGTTTACAATTGACGAAGACCTTTGTAGACCATCTTTCAAGGGAAAAGGTCATTAAATTTACTTTTAAACTACCTGTTATCTGATACGATTTTTTTTTCTCTTCACCCATAATAGGGTAGATTTTTAGACATCTGTTTACACACCCAGCTTACCTGTAATGCCTCTAGGCTATTTCCAACCCTTTGATCTTCTCCTATAGGGGTGGAAGACTGGATTTCATTTTCCACTAGGTTTTCCTCCATTTTTACTTGAACTTTTTCCAATTCTGACGATGAATCTTGCTCCTGAACTGGATGAAAAATGACTGGAAAGCTCTGTTCTGTAACCTCTACATCAGCTGGTAATACTGTTTTTGAATTGTTCTCAGGTAATGTTTTTTTCTGGGACTCTGTGCCTTGTGTGGGCCTGTGGGTGTCTCTTGTTGAATTTTTCTGGGGTGCAGGCCTAATTGGTGTCAATTTTATCTTGAAACACTTTTTGGTTACAGCCAAATTTGCAGCACTGTTTGGTACCAACAAGAGTGGGGTCACTGCATTAGGAACATTTAAAACTTGTTTCAGAAGTCCTTGTGTTTGCACATTTACATGATGATTAAGAGCACCTTGTGGTACACCACTGTTCAAAATTTTTAAGTTGTCGACTGTTGTATTTATAACATTTGAGTTGGAGACAGTAACAGCAGAGTTTTGGTTAAAGGACATGGTAACTGGTGCAATATCATTACTGTGATTGAGATTGGGATTGGATAATGTGGTAGTTTTGGTATCAGTTTCTGTCATATGATTTTCAGCCTTTTGCATGTTTTGGGCATTGTTTGTGGAGGGAAACGTTATATTGTTTGGAACCTGCACCATATTACACAGATTATTCACAGGATAAATGACAAAAGGAAATCTAAGCTGTGAAAGGTTGTTCATGTTCACAGGAGGAAGACTGGACTGATGCACTCCAAGGTTGTTAATGTTCATAGGATGCCTGTTATTGTTCATAGGAGGCAGAAAGAGCTGCTGTGATACATGGCTGTTTGTGTTTATACATGTAGTAGGCTGTGATGGATGTTGAACTCCAAGATTGTTCATGTTAACATGAGCTGAGAGCCTGTGATGATGACTGTTGTATCCAAGGACTCCTTGTGTTCAAGTAAAGTTGACATGACTACTAGTACTTGATCCTAAGGCTGTTCACGCTCACATCAGTCTGAGTGAACTGCTTGGTTAGAAGGCTTTTCATAATTATTCCTTCTACAAGTATCTGTAGGAAGGGAATATGGAATCCTTGGGCTCCCTATGGTCTCTAAATGATCACTTTATATCTGTAAAATAAAACAAAAAAAGTTGCTTGCACTTATATTGTTCAAAGAATAAATGGCAGCAAAAAAGATTTACTGGATTAAAAAAAATAGTACTACATAAATTAAATTAATTATCACTTCAAGTTTGAGATGTATGTTGTGACTTTTGAAACAAGACTATTTTAATACATTCTTTGTGGCACAACCAAATCAATGTGCCACATCATGTGGCTAGACCATGCTGATGTTAACTAGAATCAAAGATGAATAGGAGTGGAATAGTATGATATTGCTATATAAAATATGGTGATATGATATGATTTTTCAATTTCGATACCCAGCATGATTATGTACTGTAAATTTTTATGGTTCCAAAGAAATTGGCCATATTTGACCTGGATTACAAGTTTTAGATAAATTTTTTTCATCAGCTGTTATAAGTAAAGGGACTTTTTAACATTGTATTATGCAAGATAAGATTTCAGAATACATATCATCAAGATTAGTTAAGTTTCACTGTATGTGTGAAGTATTGTCAGAAAACTGGTTGTTACCGGTATATAAATCTGTTACAAAATGTCTACCCATGGGCCATAGAATAAAAAAAAAACCAAGGTTCTTCAAATTAACAAACAAATTTTCCAGTTAGCAAGCAGAGTTCTGATGTCGGATAAATGAAAATTTCCTGCAATGATCTTATCATGCTTATAATTAACCACGGTTAGAATACGTCCCATATACTTGTAATGTTGCAAATCGGAGCGGATCCGCTCCGAAACGATTTTGAAGAATATAAAATGATTTGAACTGGGAATAACTACCAAAATAATCAAAACAAACCTTCTTAAGATTGCTTATGCCTTTTATCCCAAAAAATAATCCATATAAATACGTAAATCCAATTAATTTTCTCAACGTTTTTCCATATATGGCAAGAAATTGGTACTGTGTTTTTAGTTGATACTTTTGTACCCTAGGGTACACATCTATTTATCCTTTACCAATAAGCATGATAAGGTTACAATTAGGGTACAGTACAAAACCATTGGAAAATGAAAGTAGAAAATTTCTGAAGGACTGTCAATGTAGCCGGGTTACAATGGGTACAGTGGTTACTTATTAACATGATTAACAGTAAATAACACCTTTTCTACTGTTATCCTAAAACTATTTGATTTTAGAATTTAAACAGGGTACGGAGGGAACTATATGCCTACAAAATCACAACAATTGACATTTTCATAACTTAAAATGTTTGATTCATATTAGCATTATCATGACCTAATGGCTTCAAAGATCTACATTACAAAAAAACAACCACACTCATGTAAGCATTTAAGAGGGTATAAGTCAGCTTCTTACCTTTAATTATGATTATAATAGTCCAGATTCTTGAAGTTATAATTAGCTACACTGATAATTATATATTCCAGACTTGAGCATTGCATGACACACCTGATACTGTATACATACCTATCGCAAATAATTTACCTGTACCCCCACTCTGTCTGACAAACACAAACTCTACTAACAGTACCTGATGGTGTGTACTATACACAAACTGATCAAATCATTGTGATCATGTAGGATTGGGTGATCATTTACTTCCATTTCAGGCCAGACTAATTTAAATTACCCTATACACTGTATTTATCTTATCTTATCCAATTCAATTTTGATTAGTAAATTAAAGTTATATAATAATTTTTAAACAAGTTTAGCTAAACTTTATTAATATATTTGTAAATAGTACTAGTACTTTGAACAGATCATTTAATACCTTTTTTTAACAAAAGTATATACCATGGGTAGCTAGGTCCCTGCTATCATGGGCTGGTAGATTTGAGATTTTTACCAGCACAGAGATTTTTTTTTATTTAAGCCCCTCCTATCACCATGAATATAATATGTCACTTGTTCTGATAAAAATCTGCATTGCAAAACTCAGATGCTTTAAAATTTGTACCAAGAATTTTTATCCAATTAATTTATTATATTATTTCCAAAATTAACATAGTTCAATACTTTATAAATAAAAGACCATGAACAATGAAATTGAATCAAAAGCTTTTTCAAAATCAATTAAAACCAACAATCCTGGCATATTTTTAGCTTTTGTGTATGCCATTAAATCATAAATAAATCTGATGTTTTCATCAAAATATCTTCCTTTTAGGAATTCAGTGTGAGGGTCTGAAATCAAAAGATCCAGAGTATATCTTATTCTGTAATTTAGTAGAGTAATTATGGTCTCCAATTTTTCAAAAATTGTCTGGGTTTATTCCCATTCAGTATACATGAAATTATCCCTAGTCTTTGTGAAATAGGAATTTCTTTTTTTTTTTGACAATATACAATTTGTAGCTCGCATAATGTATGTAGACTTTAAGATCACTCCAGAAAAATTTTTAAAAAATTCAGTTGTGAATTAAGCTTTACCATATCACTTCCAGGAGATTTATCATTCTTCATATTTTTTAAAACTTGTAAAACTTCATTTTCTTCAATATCTTTTTCTTAATCAAAGAGGTGATTTTATCTAATTTTTGAATTACAGTTGAGTTAATAATTTCTTCTTAATCAATATCAATAAGTTTATAATCTGTATTAGAATATAAATTTTGATAAAACTTTTTGACTTGATTCAAAATTTCTGATTGATCATATATAAGGTGACATTTTTTTTATTTCTTGGATTACGGATCCACCGACCTGATTTTTTTAAGTCTCCTGATCGAGTACTTTGGATTAGAGGAAATTATTTTTCTTTTCTTTTTTTTTTTTTAAATTAAACTAAATTCTAGATCAGGTTTGGCATATACGACATTTATATGTTCTTTCAATGTAGCTCTAAAATATGGCAGTATATACATGTACCCCGGTAATACATGCATATAAATCTGTGAAAATTTTGATAATATAAATTTAAGGCTCAGAAGGTATGTAAACATTGGGTTTGGGAAATGTTTATAAAGTTGCAAAATCAAGTATGCTAGGAAAAGCCAGTGAAATTTTTAGGTGGCATCTAGTTTAAATGCATGTAAACAGAGAAAGAAATAGAGAAATAACAGACTTGTAAAAGTTTTTTTTTTCAATAGATGGCACTGTAGCTCTAGGTTTTCCATCCCAATTTTTCTGATTAGAGCTGCAGACTTGCAGCTATATGTAACGAGCAGGTGAACTTAGGTGTTAGTTTTTATATATGGCATGCATTTTATTCTTCTGCCAATTTATCTAGGTATCATAAAAAGAAGAGAATATGATTATTAAGTAGAAAATAGAAGGAAAGAAGAGAAATTTACAAGTATTTTGAATTTAAAAGCATATGCCTCTGTCCTGCCGCCTCTGATTTGTTAATAATTTTTATAAAACTAGTCTTAGATCATGATTACATGTATATCATGTGATCATAATAAATACTGCATAATTTTTGGTATAATGAACACACAGAAATTTTGACAATAAATATTAATTTAAGGGACAATATCCCTCTGCTCCACAATTTCACGACTTTTTTTTTTTAATTCTAAACATTAATTTCAGGAACAACTATAACATTAAATTCAAACAGAAAATAGTTTGAAGTATGAAGCATTGCTAATACTTTTTCAGAAATTAATAATATGTCAAATCATGATGTGAAGAAAATGTGATATGGTCATTAGAAAGATCAATTATCTTTAATCTCACAATTAAATTAGAAATATGAGGTATATATAAAAATAATATTTACCTATGTAATTCCCTTTAGAAAACATACTAAAGCGATGCTTTTTAAATCAGAATATCAGATTGTTTTCTGTGCATGTCAAATAAAATGCATCCATAAACAAGAGTTATCGTTCCATTATCGCCCTTGAAATTCTTTTTTAATGAAATAAAATATTAATTATAAATGTTTATAAACAATTCTGCGGCTGTTATTTCTGTACAATTAAAAGACTTACACGTTTAGAGATAGATTTTTTTTTTTCAATTTACACCGTTTAAAGGAACTGGGTATAAATGTTTTAGGTAAACTAATAAAAATAATTAATAAATATACTAGCAATAGAACTAGAATTCAACCTCTGAACAATGGGATTGGTTGGCTTGAGAAATGGTCCTTATGAAAGAGATTTGTAAATTCTGGCATGACAATTCACTGAATTTCATGACAAAATGTCTGCAGAAAGTTATCTTTCTTATCTGTAGAGTTATCTCTCTTATCAGAGTATCAATGAACCTTAATTAAAAAGAAAAAATTAAAGTTAACAAATAAGATTACTTTTATAAATAAAGTTCATCTACTTTTTGGGGATTACTTTAGGATATGAGTTAATTTTATATTTACAGCAAATAATGACATATAGAGGCAGTTGTGCAAAAAAAGAAAATTAATGAAATATGTTGTGGAGGGGTGGGGGTTAACTGAAATGCTGTTGTATGTGTACTGTTTAAATCAGATCTAAGGTAGAATCTGAGGAAGATCAGGTGATAATCCACCTGGTATACACGTACCTATGAAGTCACATGTTTATTGTTCTCCTGGCCAGGTGTCAAACTGTAAAACCTTCCAATTCGCACAGAATATACAAGAAATATACAGTTCTTTTGTCATGTCCAGGAAAGGTGTGAAAAGTAAAAGGGGTCTTTCAATTTGCAATGAGGTAAACTTGTTTGGAGGAGATAGGGTTCACAATTACTTTAAACCAGATTTTGGTCTACATTGCATGTACATATTTTTCACAATCCCCCGCCCCCCCTTTGGAATAAAGGTTTTGACTAAAAAAAAAATATATATATATATTGATTCATTTGTTAAATTTATAAAGTATGTGACCCCCTTCCTTACTACAGCATGTAACACTGGCACTTGATGTTTTAAACCTGTTTTTCATAAATAAAAAATCCACAATGTATTATACAAAGTAACTGGAATATTTTTATAAAAATTAGTTTTAAAGTTAAGGGGGACCTATGTCGTTCTACGTCAAAGCAGCGTTATATGACGTCACAATAGCGACGTTTTGT